ACATAATACTATTGCACACTTGATAGACTACGGTATACTGTAAACATTACTTTTAAGTGCCCTGGGAAACCAAAAAATTTGTGTTACTCCCCTTATTGTATTATTTGCTTTACTGAAATGATCTGAAACTGAACCTGCAATATCTCTGAGGTATGTCTGTATTTGTGCCTATGAAATTTCTTGGATGTGAACATTAAATAAGATATTGAATGTGAGAACTTACTGCTGAACCTGAGACTTAGTAAACATCTAATAATACTGATTACTATAGACTACCCTTATGTGTTTCCATTTCTCATTTAGGCCTGTATCAAATAAGAATCTATTCACACATTCAAAATTAGGCAATAGATCTGTCAAATGTGAATTTGAAAGAAACGTTCTGGACACTTTTCTTATTTGAGTATTTTGCTCTTATTTGGGTTTTAAGACTTTTTCATTCACTTGAACGATTGTTCAAATTTCACTGATTTTTCACAGTATGGGGAATTTGCATAATAATATATTTTTGAAAATGCTAACAGGTTTAGAATTAAAACACCCAAGTTCTAGTTTCAGCTCAATAATTTATAAATTGTGATTTGAAACAAAGCACGAACATCACTGAGCATTAATTTCATCATCTATGAGATGGGACTTAAGATCCCCTTCCTCATGTACCGCTCAGTTCTTCCCTGAGGAACACGTAGAGGGATAGGTGTGACAGTGCAGAGAAAACTGCAACACAACACTCATCCTAAGAGTTAAGGTAAAATCCTGTGCGTGTCTCGATTTTTTACGTGGATCTTTTCAACTTGATGTCACAGAAAGACTTTAAACACCCCAGATGATTTCACCACCCCTCCCACTCACTGAGATGCTGGGAGTCTCTGTCTCAGAATTTAAGTCTTCCCACACTCACTGAGACTCTACTGTCTGTAGTGGATATTTATGTGACAAATTCTGCATGTAAACCAACTACTTCATCTGGTGCTCAGAGGAATACACAGTGAAATTCCTAATCTTTGAGAGAAAAATCAACTGTCTCCCATGCTTTGGGAAAAATACCATATCTGTACCCAGCATGGACATTTGCTGACATAGGCAATTTTCAGGAGTAATGTGACATTATAGGACCAATTTTAGAATCTATCCACATACAGGATGTAATTCTATTATGTTCCCTTTGAAAATCTACCATTATATCAGTCTCTTACACTGCCATTTTTGTTTTTCATATACATCACATTGCCACACATTGCCAGGGACTTAACAGGTTAAAAAAAAAAGAAAAGAAAAGTATTTTTTTTTAACATAAGAAAATGAATGAGTGAAGCAATAGCCATATTCTCTGGTCAGATTCAGAGAGTACTTTCTTCACAGCCCTGCCTCTTTGGAGGCTGCAACCAGGAACAACCTACCTGATTGTTCTGGCAAAGATGAAAAGTGGATTGAATACCATGTAATTGATGTTAGGCAAGGATTTTATAAAATATAAGACACGAACTCACTGTGTGTGTGCATGTGTGTGTGTCTGTGGAAGGAGGCAGTGTAAATAGGAGTGGGGAATATGATTCAATAAAGTTTGGGGTCCAGAAATGAAAGAGATATAGAACTCAAGACCCCTATGCTTCTAGTTATCATGAGTCCTGAACCACGGTGCACCCTGATCATGCTCATTCCAAATCTGATCCTAAGCAACAACAGCAGCTCCCTCAGAGAAAGTTTACATTACACAAATTCAGGCTGTAATCAAAGAACTTTTTTTCTGGGCCTTAACTAGGAGGACTGCTTTCTGTTAAGCCCAGAAACTTGAAGATTTCATTCTGACTTAGAAGCAGCTCTGTACAGGCACAGGCCAAACCGACACTCACCTGCTTCACTCTCAGCTGCGACAGTTTTAGCGGAATCATAATTAGCCTCATAACATGTGAATGCCATTCACATAACACAAAAGAAAAAACCTACCAAGGATAAATATACTGTGCATATAAAATATCTTGAATTGATTCCTTACCTTTTGAAAAAATTTTAAAAGGTGGACACATAGTGCTTATTGCTGATTAAAAAGTGCTTAATTTGCTTAAACTATCAGCTAGGTTGCCTCTTTTAAAATGTTATCAGTCTTAATTATTACAAACTGTATTTAATCTATTTTTCTTAACTTTTTCTAGTTAACTGAAGACAGCAATTAATTTTAAAGAAAATTTATCTTCTCTGTAAATGAAAGATATTTCATTTGAATGTTGAGGCTCATGAAATGAAAGATTAGTGAGCAGATGTAAGCCACTCTTTGGGACACTTCATGTTGTGATAAAATATATAATAGAGTGGGCGCAGCTCTGCAAGGTATACAAAGAATTCTAAATAGCACAGATACTATTTATTTCTTTACTGGTATCCACATATTTATTTCAATAAGGAAGACTACCTTTTCAAGAGGAAGAGCAAGTAAGAGAAAACCAAAAAATAATATGGGGCTGGCCCAGTGGCATAGGAAGTTCACATGCTCTGCATCAGTGGCCTGGGATTTGCAGTTTCAGATCCCAGGTGCAGACCTACACACTGCTTATCAAGCCATGCTGTGGAGCCTACAATAAAAATAGAGGAAGATTGGCACAGATGTTGTCTCAGTGACAATCTTCTTCAAGTGAAAGGAATATTGGCAACGGATGTTAGCTCAGGGTCAACTATCCTCACCAAAAATAAATAAGTAATTAATAAATAAATAAAGGAATACTCCAACCAATATCAACTATTTTCTATAAGCAGAACTTGTAAAGTTAAAATGAAGCATGTTGACGTTTCAGTCAGGAGATAGAATAAGTGTGATCAATTAAAACCCTAATACAAAGATTAAGGGGTGTCAAACAACTAAAAGACAAACAAAGAAGCCAAGAAACCAGTTATACTATATTTGAAAATAGCTAAATATTGAGTGGAGACCAGGAAAAGCATTAATAGTTAATACTATTAAAGGCATCTTAGACAATATTTAATTGTTACTTGATACATCAAATTGAGATTTTTTAGAGTAACTTGTTTTGGCCTTATTTTCCAAAAAGGTAATAATAAAACATCCTTTCCAGAAAAGATATTCTCACAATTTAGTTTATTCACCAAATGTTTCCTTTAGTTGCCATTGCTTTACCAGCTGTAATTTGAGGGTTTTGTCCCTCAAAAATCCATATGAGAGTAGCATATGGAAGTCAACAAAAACAGGAGTGATTTAATTGTTCCAAGCTCCTCCAGCCCTATTGTTTAACTTTTTTAATATCAAATAAATTATGCTTTCATTATCTAGAGAAATTCCGTGATTTACGTAATATTTCTAGGATCTTCCAGAAAGGAGAGTCATAGGCAAAGACTTTCATTATTGTTGATTTTCCCTTCTAAATTCCTTCTTTTAACTTGAGTTCCAATTACCCCTCACTATTTTATCTGCTGTAGCTGCTGCCTTCTCTCTACCTGGCTCCCCAAATGTGGCTACAAGTTTTCTACATTCATTCACCAGAACACTACTGATGTACAGATGTTGCGTATCATAGTTTTTTCAAAGTTTAAAGATCAGGGGATATATTTACAATACTCTATAGAACAAGATAGAAATTCAGATTGAAATGTGGTTTCTAACCTTAAAGACCACTCCCCACACAGAGACCTCTTATTTATTATTTAGGTGTCTGTTGAGTCCTACTGAATGACATGTTTCTGAGCTCCTTTCTCTCCCATGCCCTGTTCTCTGAATAACGAACATTTGTAAACATTCCAAATTAAGCTTTTTAATTTTGCAGAAAAATTAACCTCTTTATTTGATCCAATAATCTGCCAAATATACTAGCCCAAAGGCCTCCACTTTCCCAACAAAAAGAACTCTTAAACTGTTTTCCTAAACAAAAAACAAAAAAAAGTGATGCCCACCCTGGGAGAAATTCATGTATCATTCTGGAACAAAGCAAAATCAACTTTCAAATTAGCAATGTTTTCTAACATTCTGTGATTACTGAAACAAAAGTAATAGAATAAAGCAGACACAAAGTATACTACGAAGAGTAGTTTACTTGAAAACGAAAGGATATGATTTTTTATTTTTTGTTTCTGAAGCTGTGTGACTTTAAATAATTAACCACTCCGAGTTTCACTTTCCTATCCATACAATAATATATATTGACAACCATTTATGTGCTGATTTGACTGTACAAAGATAAAAAAGACAACTCTTTTCTAAAAGAAGAATGATACATAATGTCTAGGGTAACAAAATGGATTATATTTGATAGTGTTTACAGAATCTTCAATCCCTGGCATTTAAAGAAGACGTATTCTTGCCAGTTGGGGAATAGAAAGAAAGAATTAGAAACAGAGTATCTGATTCATGCTTCTTTTGTTTTCTTTTAACGATTGGCACCTGAGCTAACAACTGTTGCCAATCTTCTTTTTTTTCTGCTTTTTCTCCCCAAATCCCCCTAGTACATAGCTGTATATTTTAGTTGTGGGTCCTTCTAGTTGTGGTATGTGGGGTTCCGCCTCAACATGGCCTAATGAGCAGTGCCATGTCCCTGCCCAGGATCCGAACCGGCAAAGCTCTGGGACACAGAAGCAGAGCGCATAAACTTAACCACTCAGCCACAGGGCCGGCCCCTGATCCATGCTTCTAATAGAAAGCAGCAGATAAGCACACCCCCAATGACACAGATAAGCACACTCTCAATGATACAATGTTGCTCTAGTGTGACGTAATTTTGATAAATTGAATACCTTTCATCTTTTTCTACAGAAAAATGAAGTTCAAAGTCACAATGAAAAAAAAAGGAAACAATTTATTCTTACTTAATGTCATTACTAAACAGGAAGAAAGGTGGAGAGGATATTATGGAAATGGTGAGGAGAAAAAAAAGATCTACTTTATAAACTATGAGAGAAGACTCAAATTTGCTTTAACATCTTAAAGGAATGGTAGGATAAAAATGCATCCGCTAAAAATATTTTAATCAAACATACAGAATCTCTCTGTCCTGTAACTACGTGCAAAGACAGATACTGAATCTGATCAAAACTTTATCCTGAGTCTTTCTCAGAGCAAGTTTAACATCTTTATTTCTCAGGCTATAAATTAACGGATTCATCAAGGGAACCGTATTGGTATAAAAGACAGAAGATATTTTTCCTTCATTCATAGATGCAGCAGAAGATGGCTTGAGATACATAAATGCACCTGATCCAAAGAAGATAGAAATGGCAATTATGTGGGAACTGCAGGTACCGAATGCTTTGGACCTGCCCTCTGTGGAACTGATGTGAAGGATGCTGGAGAGGATGAAACCATAAGAGACAAAAATGGTGACACTGGGCACAATGACATTGATGCCCACCACAATGAAAACTTCCAGCTCATTGACGTAGGTGCTCGTGCACGAGAGCTGGAGCAGAGGGAAGATGTCACAGAAATAATGGTTGATGGTATTTGCATCACAGAACGTCAGTGTCAGCATACATCCAATGTGGGCCATGGCACCAGAAAATGCCATCAAGTATGAACCAAGCATAAGGCTGGAACACACTTTATGGGACATGACAACGCTATACAAAAGTGGTTTACGGATGGCCACATAGCGATCATAGGCCATTGATGTCAGCACATAGCATTCAGAAATACCAAAAAAGCAGAAAAAGTAAAGCTGTGTCATGCACCCCATGTAGGAGATAATATTCTCCTTAGATATGAAGTTAACTAGCATTTTGGGTGTAAAAACAGATGAATAAAAGAAATCTATGAAGGACAAATTAAAAAGGAAAAAGTACATTGGGGTGTGTAGGTTTGAATTCAGCCCAATTAAAATCATCATACCCAAGTTTCCCAATGCAGTGAATATATACATTACTAGAAACAGGAAGAACAGGGGAAGTTGAAGATATGGTTGATCTGTTAATCCCAATAGAGTGAATTCTGTCATGAAGGAACGATTTCCAGAAGCCATTCTTCTCTAAAGGAAGCTGTGGGCACAAGAGGAAAAAGTCACATAGAGAACAAATCAATGCCTCTCACAATATCTCCTATCACAAGAGTGGAGGGTATGAGAATAGTTCAACATTGAGCCACAGAATTTGCTTTACCATTGTCATGAGAATGAGTTAGAAAGACTTTCCCTTATCAGAATATTTACAAACTAAATAAATCAAAGTACACCAAAACTTGGCCTAGAGCATGCAGGCTTCTGCTTCCATACAATAATGACTGTTGGGAAAACCAAAGGAAAGGGGAGAAGTTTCTACTTGGTCATAATCATCCTTCTCTTGTGTCAACATTTCTTCATTCACTTGAATCCTCTCCTCCAGTAAAATTGGAGGCAACAACCCTAGATACCTGGTGCTGCCCTCTAACACAGGTTAAACTTGATGGGGTAAAAGTGAAAGCAATCTTTCTAATCCAAAACTACAGGACCAGAGTCTAAGAGAGGTTAAGTTATTTCCCCATTCAACAGAGTAAAAATCATAAATCTAGTAGGATGAGTGTTCCATCCATGGAGAGGGAACTTACTGACTGATATAAGGCATCCCTTGAGACTCCCTATCTTTCTGGATCACCCCTGCGCCCCCTGGAGAAATACTTTTACCAATTTCACTTGAGTCTCAGGACTGCAAAAACGGGAAAGAAAGTAGCATGTTTAGATCCTTGATCTTCCATCTCAAAAAGAATCACCTTAACATAAATGGAATTCAAAAATTCACCCTTCTTAGGCCATAAAAACTTGGTGCTTCCTTTTCGTTGTTTTACTCCTGTGGTCCTGGAAGGCTAGCTTCAGGCTCTTGGGTTTGGTTCCCTTGATTCTAAAAGGATGCAGCCCACACTTTATTTCTGACTTACCCTGGAAATCTTTCAGAACTACAGATTACAATTTATGATTATGACTTTCAGTCCTCTCAAGCAGCAGACAAAAATAAAAAATCTTTATCATTATCATTTTTGCTTCTTGGAAAGACACAAGATTGAATGTGGGTGTAATGATATAATACACTCAGTCATAAATGGAGCAAAAACTTGCTCAGTCTCTTCCCCCAGGAACAGTTTCTAGGTGTAATAGGGCACTAGGGGACTGTGATTACATACAGGATTACAACCTGTCTTTAGTTCCTTAGGGACCCAAAATTTTACCTACCTTTCCCCTTCACTGTAGGGATTATACATACCCCAAGGAAGAGCTAAAACTAAACTCAAATTTCCTCTTCAGCAATATGGCACAAGAGGAAGCCCTAGACTCTCCTACTCTCATAAACACACTGATTCAAAAATGATTCATGTACAGATTCCCTTTGTAATAAATCCAGATATTAGTTAAGGGGATTTTGTATTCAGTTCAAGCATGAACCCATCATTTTGAAATTGTTAGACAAACTGAAGACATCCTGTGGTCTTAATACATATCCTTGCACAGCACCTTCTGATTGGAACAAAGCCATTCATTTCCTAGCTTCTCCCTGGGAAAGAAAAGAGTTGCACCATATGTCTAATGACCCAACATTTTGAGGGGATGTCCAGAAGACTGGCTATAGGATAGCCTATCTCAGAAAGCTGAAGGACACAAGATACATCATATTTTATCTGCCTAGTGTGAGGCAGAACCAAGATGGTGGTTGGACTGGAAGTCATCATAGTCCCACCTCCTGACTCTGCACAGAGCTGGCAGTTGAAAACTCCTTTCTTCCAGCTTCTCCCTAGTGAAAGAGAAAGGTACACCAGGCACAAACGACCCAACTTACATCGGGGCTGCCTGAGGAACTGGTTTTAGTCTTGCTTATTTTAGAGCACTGATGGGACCTGGTACACTCTGGATGCCTCGGGGAGCCACTAACAACAAAGAAAGCGGTTTGGACTAACACAAAGTTGAGAGGCCTCCAGAGTCTCTAGCCAGGGTTGCTGTTGGGGGTCTGATCCAGCACAAGGTCATTCCATGAATATTAGGACATTTGGCTGTCTTGTCTAATGTGCAGACACCAATGCAAAGTTCATGACAAAAAAGACACACCAAAATATTTTCTAAAAAGGAACAAGAGAGATCTCCACAAAGTGACCATAATGCAATGGAAATAAGTGATTTACTTGAGAGAGAACTCAAATCAACTATCATATTGATGCTCGTTGCACTCAGAGAACAATACAACAACCAAGTGAAAATGTCAACAAAGAGACAGAAAACTTAAAAATAGTAAATAGGGACCATGGCGCTGAAGAATACAAAAACTGAACTCAAAAATTTAGTAGAGGGGCTCAACAGAAAACAGTATCTAACACAAGAAAGGATCATTGAATTTGAAAAAAGTTCACTGAAAATTGTTCAATCAGAGAGGCAAAACAAAGAAAAGAAAGAAAAATGATGAGTAAAACTTAAGAGCCTTATTGGACACTATCAAGTGGATCAATATCTAGATTATAGAAACTCAAGTTGTAAAAGAGAATGAGAAAAGAACAGAAATATTCAAAGAAAACAAAGGCTGAAAAACTTCCAAATCACGGCAACTTCCTATTACTGTGACCTATTTATAGAAAGACAAATCCAAAAATAATTGTACTATGAATATATACATGCAAAGACTACTTTGTAGTCAACTACTTATTCACTCTCCACTTTACTTATATGAGACAGCCCAACTTCCATCTTCAGACTCAGGTCTATCCAGATTTGCAGGAACAATGCTTATCCAGGAAGGTGAAATAAGATACTCTAACCCAATATTATGGAACTCAACACAATGTTACTTGTTGCTGCATCTTCTCTAAACTGGAATTACAATTTTGATACCTGGTTTTGATTCAATCATTATGTTTTATAATACCTCTGATCATTGAAGCACAGTTTTTCTCTATTCCTAAATATTTCCATATTTCTTTTTTTTCCGTTAAGGTAACATTAGTTTAAAACATTATGTAAATTTCAGGTGAATGTCATTATATTTTGATTTCTGTATAGACTACATGATATTCCCCACCCAAATACTAATTGCCATCCATCAACTTATATATATGACCTCTTTCTCCTTCACCCTCCTCCCTGCCCTCTTTGCCTCTGGTCTATGTGTTTATGTGTTTGCTTATTGTCATTGTTGTTGTAGTTTTTATCTCCAACTTATTAGTGAAATCATATACTGTTTGATTTCTCTATGTGATTTATTTTGCTTAGCGTAATATCAAGATCCATCCATGTTGTTGCAAATGGCAAGATTTCGTCTTTTTTATGGTTGACTAGTATTCTGTCACATATGTGTACCACATCTTTATCCATTCATACGTCAATGGGCACTTAGTTTGTTTCTAAGTCTTGCTATTGTGAATAATGCTGTAATGAACATAGAGATGCATATATCTTTACACATTCATATTTTCATGTTCTTTGGATATATACTGAGAAGTGGAATAGCTGGATCATATGATAGTTCTATTGTTAATTTTTTGAGGACTCTTCATATTTTTTTCTATAGTGGCTGCACCAGTTAAAATTCCTACCAGCAGTGTGTGATGGTTCCCTTTTCTCAACATCCTCTCCAATGCTTGTTATTTCTTGTCTTCTCAATTATAGCCATTCTGATGTATGTGGTGATATCTCATTGTAGTTTTGATTTTCAATTCCCTAATAATTAGTGACGAACATCTTTTCATGTGTCTGTTAGCCATTTGTATATCATCTTTGGTGAAAAGTCTGTTCAAATTGTTTTCTTTGTTGCTGTTGAGACGTATGAGTTCTTTCTATATTTTGGATATTAACCCCATGTTGGATATATGATTTGAAAATATTGTCTCCCACTTGTCAGGTTGCCTTTTTTGCTGTTGTTGATGGTTTCCTTTGCTGTAAAGAAGCCTTTTAGTTTGACCTAGTCCAATTGTTTATTTTTCCTATCCTGGATATTCAAAAGGGTATTGCCAAGACAAATTTCAAAGAGCGCACTGCCTATGTTTTCTTCTGGAAGTTTTATTATTTAGGTCTTACATTCAATCCTCTAATCCCTTTTGATTTATTTTTTATGGCATAAAATAATGGTCTATTTTCACTCTTTCTTATGTGACTGTCCGGTCTTCCCAAGACCATTTACTGAAGAGATGCTCCTTTCTCCATTGTATGTTGTTGGATCCCTTGCCAAAAATTAGCTGTCCATAGTTGAGTCGGTTTATTTCTGGGTTCTTGATTCTGTTCCATTGATCTGTGTCTGTTTTTGTGCTAGTACCATGCTGTTTTGATTACTATAGCTTTGTAGTCTATTTTGAAAACTGAGAGTGTGATACATCCAGCTTTGTTCTTTTCTCTCACAATCGCTTCTGCTATCCAAGTTCTTTTGTAGTTTCATATCAATTTTAGGATTCTTTGCTATATCTGTGAGAAATGTCATTGGGACTGTGATAGGGATTGCACTGAACCTGTAGATTGCTTTAGGAAGTAAGGACATTTTAACTATGTTAATTCTTCCAATCCATGAGCATGGAATATCTTTCCATCCCTTTATATCTTCTTGAATTTCTTTCAATAATGTTTTATAGTTTTCAGTATATATGTCTTTCATCTCCTTGGTTAAATTTATTCCTACATATTGTATTCCTTTTGTTTTTATAAAAAATGAGATTGTTTTCTTAATTTCTGTTTCTGGTATTTTTTGTTACTGTATAGAAACACAACAGATTTTTCTATGTTGCTTTTGCATCCTGCTACGTTACTGTATTCATTTACTTTTTCTAATAATGTTTTATATATTCTTTGGGGTTCTATATATAATATCATGTCAAGTGCCAATAGTGACAATTTTGTTTCCAATTTTGATTACTTTTATTTCTTTTCTTGCCTGATTGCTCTGACAAGGACTCCCAATACTATGTAAAGTCAGAGTGAACAAAGTGAGGATTCTTGTCTTTATCCTGTTCTTAAAGGTATAGCTTTCAGTTTTTCACCAATGATTATGATGTTAGCTGTGGGTTAGTCATATATGGCCTACACCT